TATATATATATATATATTAAGAGAAATGTGTGGCGACACATGGTTGTTAGATTATCACATGGCGATGCTCCGATCTGCTGATGATCGAAGCTGTCGGTACGATTCGATATTTGACTACAATACGTGCTGAATGTTCGAATAATTCGAATATCTCGAATGTCTATCCGCGTAATTCGTTGTTATCTGTTAGAATTTTTTGGTAAGCCGAATTATTCACAATATCGTATAAAGCGATGTGATATGAAAGACCGTTTTTATCGCGCATCACATAATGCCATAAAGCCTATTATCTTCTACTCTAAGATTCCTCGAATTATTTACATTAAATGTCGAAATATTCTAATATTCGGATATTCAATTCGTGTAGTCTTAAAAATACTCGTCTGTTTATACACATACGAGAGAAATTAAAGAAAAAAAAAGAGTATCTGACCGTTGCGCGGGAATATCTACTTTTTCGCGCTATCGTTTGTGTCATTATCTCCTTTTCATTGCGGTCTAATCGTGTACAGATTTAATGTAGAAATTTAATAGACCTATCGCGAACAACTACCGAAACGGTTGATGAGCGCGAAAAAATAAAACGAGCGTAGAGAGCAGATCGCGGCTGATTTTCGGCCACGAGTTTCCTCGCTCACGCTTGCGGATGAGCGTATTGTATGATAATATCATAGTAGATTGCGACTTTCGTCCCTTTGTAATTAACGATGTTCGTATCATCGTATTTATTTCCTCGTGTAGCATATGCATGAGTGTCCCGCGTGGTTTTTGACCATTGTGACTTCGAAGTCAAATGTTAACGAGCGTATATTGATCTTGATCTCCAGCTACGATTAGCTAATATATTTACTCTTTTTTCCTGACGTGCAGCGAGTTTCATAGGATTTTTCGTTCTAGTTATGCACGTGGCACATTGTTCGAATACACGTATTTTTTACACACACACACACACACACACACACACACACACACACACACACACACACACACAAAACGAATTCGCCATTCGATTTAATATTCATGGAGTTCCGAACCTCGGGGAGCTTTCACGGAAGTTCAAGAAACCGCACTTTCTACATTCAATCTTTACGCGAGAAATCTTTAGTCCCGTAGCATGCGTTCGTTTTCACCCTTCTTTATCTCTTCCGAGTATCGCTCTAGCCGATTCTTTACGCAGAATAAATCATGCAAGCGTCCTTTTCTGGATCACTGATTTATTTTGTATTATTTAGCTTTGTATGTACACATGTACGTTTATAAAACATTATTGATTTATATCATAAAATAATATATATACATAAATATTATCTCTCATATAAAAATGTGCCTACTTTACCTGGCTCTTCATTCTGTTATTATTTTAACAATTTTCTTCGTTTTAACTTCAATCAGACCCAAATTTTTTTACCAAAATATATGTATTTGCATAAAAATCCTCAAATTAATTATGAAGATTACAATGAATCAACATTCAGCGCAAGAATTTGGACGATTAATGTAGATTAGTCCTAGTATATAGATTTGTCCTATCAATGTATATTAATTCGGTTTAATTTAATTTTTGTTTTTTTTTAATTCTTAAATCTAGAAGATAAAACTAAGTAAGTATTATATATTGATAATTTGCATTGAATATTGATTTATTGTAATTTTCATAACTAGTTTATGAATTTCTATGCAAATATGTATATTTTTAAAAGATAGGAATATAAAACCAGAATAGAATTTTTTTGTTAGAAAGTAAAGATCAAAGATTCTAACTGAATCAGAAATTGAAATTAAGATTATGAAGGAACATAAAATTATGCACAATAATATTATTATTAGGGTGAAAAGTTTGATCACAAAGTTTTGTGTCAAATTATTAATAATTTATATATTTACAAAACACTGGATTAGTTATATCTCATTAAAAATAAACATTCAGAATATCACTTTTATCTTTAATGCAAGATCTTAGGCGTTTCGAGAACGTATCAACAATGACCATGCATCTTTTCACAGATAAATTCTTCCAGGCAATCAATAGAGTGACTTTCAATAATCAATAAAAATGCAGAGTTTATCGATATATTAAATGTAACTCTCACTTCAAAGTTTCAAAGTTATTTTTTAAATATACGTTATTGCGTGGATATTGATTCGATAACAAAACTTTGTCACACAAACTTCTTTTGTGATTTTGTAGCTTTTGACAATTATCTAGCGTAAAAAATTTTTTTTATGATAAAGTTTTTGAAATGGTACGATAAATGAAGTAACGACGTTATTTAAGTAGCATTTAGCTAAAGTATATTTACAATAACTCTTAAAAATGCATTTTACAATATTAAAATAAATCAACGGTACTGTTTGAGGCATGCATTTTTTATAGCGCTATAATTCGCCACTGACAAATCTGTCTGATCGACGTATTCTAGCATTTAATTGTTAATCATGCATTCGTTTGACAATAAGATTCACATATATGTGAAACATTGAACACGTCACAATTCTGGAGATACATTGCCGCATATTGAACACAAAATATTATGTCAGTAATGAATATTATCGGTATCAAAGTAATATTAATATACTTTGCAGTCTTATTTTGCGTATGAAATATTCACGTCTCAGTAAACGAGAATGGATTGAATTCAGATTTTCAGAAATACACATTCGTGAATGTTAAAATAAATCCTTTTCACTCTGAATGCGTTTTATTCATTTATAGGAATTGAAATACATTTCTATGGCTTTCAATATAAAAATAATAACTTTTTCTATGCAACATGCATACTGCTCAAAATAATGAATAAGAAATGCAGTTTTTTTCAATGCAATTGAAAGTTGTGCAAGAAAGTGATCTCAATTCAGTTTCGACTGCTAAAACTAGAATACATGTGCATTTCGTTATATAAAATATTCATATAATAAAATGTTTAATTTAATTATATTTTAATTTAATATTTAAATTCAATTTTCAATATTTAAATTCATATCAATTAAATAAAGAAGAAAGAAATGAAAAGGAGATTAGAAACACTATAGTGAATGTTATTTGTTTTTCTTTTATCAACAATATATTTAAGAAATTGAAGAATACGTACGTGCTAGTTGCTTGAAGAAGATAATCAAAGTATGCTTAGCAAAGTACATTGTAAGTGTTCACAGAGATCTATTTTCGTATACGGAATAATGTATAAATAATGCTGAAAGTTGTAGATGATCGTATTTCACAATGCAGACATCTATTATATTTTACAGTGCCTGATATTTATATCTTCGGATCGTTCGCATACGTAATTCAAACGTGATTAAAAAAAACTCATTAAATATGGATTAGAAGATTGAATTTGTAATCATATAAGTAAGAGATCAGATTATTTTCAGACAAAATAACATTGAAGGACTATATCGCCTTAGCGATATCGATACTAATTTTGAATAAACCTAAAAAAATGTGTCAATTTTACGTAGATTTGAGCATATTGATTAATTACACAAGTGCACGAACACTTGTTATCAGTCGTAACGATAATAATCTAAATCAGTTTCTTACAGAAATCTAATATTAACAAGTTTAGTATTAAAAATAAATACTTATAAAAAAATAAAAAGAATTTATTAAAAGATAGAAGTAATTAATTATTTATTTGAAGT